CCATGTTTTCATCTTTACATGGTTGAATACATATAATATCACAATATCAGCAAGAGTGTGGAGCGCCAAAAGCAGGTTTATAAATGAAGCCGAAGGATTTTGGGTGAACTTGAGCTTACTCGAAAGATATTTTGGCAGATAGAGAGGCTACTGACAGAGTTGTCAACTTCCGTCTCAAATTGGTCGCCCTCTTAAACACCCCCGCCAAGGAATAAATGAGATGGTATGTTAGTACTCTAATAGTCATTATATGATTAGCTCTCTTTTTACAACAACTTTCACTCATCAAAATCATTTCTTCCCTAGATCATCATCCTATTCAATTTCTCGCATAACCAAATTTGCATCAATGTACGTCGTTCTTTTATGCAGGATATTAATTAAGAGTCTCATAATTGTTTCAGTTCTCTTTTGTGTGTGTAAGTCTGTTGTTACTGACTCCTACGGTGTGGGTTGGGTATATAGGTGTTGGAGTTGGCATGCAACTTTTCCTTACCTGGTGGTAGAGATTTTTGCTCCTGTTTCGTGGTGAGTAGGAAGCTACGGTCTTTGAAACTGATGTACATTGAGCCTGCATATTTTAGTTAGCTGAGAGGCAAAATATCTTTTCCTAGATTATATATCAGAACTAGATAAAAACATAGTAGAGGGTGGTGTTTGAGGAATGGGGAATTCCTATGCAGTTATCAAACTCAATTTTCATGCATTCTTTACTTTTGTTATACCAGTGCAATTTCTGATTGGCTTTCTGTTAGCAATTCGTTATGATTAGTTTGCTTAGTATTAGTTAATTGACAGTAGCAAATATGAGTTCTCACTTTCAATTCCCTATCATGGATTATCTCCCATTTTGATATGTGAAGGCTAGGCATAACCGCTATCCATTGTGCGTTTAAAACTTATGAATGAATTGAACTGGTTGCAACCTCAGTGATATACCCATTGCCCTGACGGGTTTGACCGAGTTTGTTTTGTCAATTTGAATTGAATTTTTCCTGTTCATATTCCACTAACATACATTGTTTCTGATTACTGTTTCATAGGCAGATGCCATTCTTTGGGTTCGATGATAAGACGTGATGCTTAAACATGAGAGAAGGCACCAAAGTTGATGACCGTGTTAATCTTGAAGAAGACCAGTGTATGAAAGAGATGGTTGATTATGCCAAAGATCATCTAGAGGACGAGAAAGAAGACCCCTACAAATGCCAATACTCATGAAAACGTTGATGAGGAGGACTCAATGGACGAGGTTAGCCTGATAAAGCACCCATAGGATGACGATGGAGATGAAGAAGTTTATGGCGGTGATGTTGAACTTGTGCCAAAGGAAGAGGATGATGAAGAGGAAGAGAAGCATACCCCTTAGTCAATGACAACAAATGTACAGGCAATTACTCTTCAAGACATTGGATTGTAGTGGTTGATGATAAAACGCGAGGCTTAAACATTGAACTGCATAATGTGATGCTCCCCATGTTAATGAGGATGTTGAGGTAGTTTGACGCCATTGAGAAAAAAAAAACTAACCTCCATAACGGAAGTGATTACACAGTTGTCGAAGAGGAAATGTGTCATAAAGTATAGTGATTGATAGCAATATTGTTTTATGTTTTAGGAAATGCTGTGTTTTCCGATTTTTTTTGAATTGTAGTCTGTAGTGTCTTATATTTGAAATGGTGGATTGATAAATAGGGATTGTTAAATTTAAGGAATAACATTAAACACAGAGAGCCACTCTGGGAAGAGTGTTCATACGACAATTGCGAACCATCCAATCTGATTTTTTATTATTCCGAATGATTTATATTCAACACATGAGAGTGAAGCCCACCATATGAGTAGGGAGAGTCGAGTACCACACTATCACGCATATAGTGTATAAATGTTCAATTATGAGTAATTGTTCAATTGTTTTTAAGAAAAAATAAATAAATTTTAGACTCAATTACTTCCATGCTATTTCAGTTAATATGAGAAATCATTTGAGCATATAAATGAATTGATAAACATAAAATAATAGAAAAAAAAAACAAAAACAGAATTCATCCGACCAACAATGAGGTAAAAGCTAGTTTAAAGTAATCCAACTAACAAGCCGGTTCAAGAGAGAGGAAATTGTATATTCACCCAATTAAAAACTGTTTAGTTAGCGTTTCTTATTTATTTTGTTTTTCTGCTTCTATTTTTTATTTGGGCTAATACCACTACAACACCCAAACTATGAGCAAAATGCCACTTGTGTCCTATTCTTTTAAATATTCCATTTGTATCCCGTCATATGATACTTTTGTGTCATTTGTATCCTAACAAAAACGTTGACCGTTAAAGATAACGGTTGACCGGACGGCAATCAAAGCAATATTGACCTTCGTTGATGTGGCAAAAATGTGACATCCACGTAGATGCCACATCATTAACATATCATTATTCAATATAAAATTAAATTATAATAAAAACTCAACAAATTATTAGAAAATAAATATTAAAAAAATAAAAGGCATTTGCTTCTCGCTCCGCCCTCCCCTTTGCGTTCCGCACTCCCCTCTTCCTTTTTCTCCTTCCTCGACAATGAAGTTGCAGACCGGCGATTGGGGCGGCACGAAGCCAGAAGTGGAACCGTCGATTGGTGGTGCACGATGGCGATGATCGACGGTAGATCTATGGAGGTGCGGTGGCTATGGCGCCTCGTGACGCCCGAGAGGCTGATGGTGACGATGGTGCCAGAGAAGTTGATGGTGACGCGATGAGTTTGGTGGTGAACTGGAGTGACCCCGTTACCAGCGGTCTCTGCCTCCCAGACTTCCTGTTCGTTTGTAGATCTCCATCCGGCGTGGTCAAAGAATTTAGCCCATGTCGATTGCTTCTCCTAACCGAATTTAGGTGCCGAATTAAATTAGGGATTTAACAAATTGCAGGGTAAGTAGTCGAGGGAGGAATGCCGATGGCGAAATGATTCGGGGAGGAGCTGTGGGTGACGGCGACAATGATTAGGGGTCCTCGTTCCGGATCCAAGACGAACATCACCAGCCGCCACTGCGAAGGTGCCATTGACGATGATGTAGATGAAGTCAAGTTTTGGCCCGGCCTCGCGGCTCGCCAGCAGGATCGATGTTGACGAATTCGATGAGGCAGCGATTTCTCATGGTGGCGACGCGGAAGAGTGGGGTCTCAACCCAGATCTGGTGATAGATCTTCATTCTCATGGATTCGATTTTGCGACAAAAGAGAACCGATGTCGGAGGAGAAAGGGGAAAGATCGATTCTCTCCAATTGAAATAAGAAACCCCCCTTCGCCGATCAATTGAAAGTTCCGCGAGTCTTCATGTCTGAGTGATGACTTTGCTAAATCTCTAAATCGGGGTAAGGATGGGGTTTTGGGAGAGACATATCTAAGACGGAGATGGATAGGTGGCGGAGGCGAAATAGTGGTGATGGAAAAGGAAAGGGAGGATTGCTCGGAAGAGGTTCAGGGTGGTGGCGGAGCGATGACGAACTGGTGGTGAAGGGTAGTGTATCGGAGGGGAGGGTTATTCGTGGTGGGGGAGGCGATGGTAAAACTGGTGGTGGCGGATTGGGTCAGGTAAGAGGAAGAGGGGGATTGGGTAGATGAGATTAGGAATTTTTAATTTTTTAAAATTTTCTTTTTTAATTGTTATTTAATTATTTAAAAATAACATGTCAGATGCCACGTCAACGTTGGTTGGATTTTCTGTTAAATACTAACAGTCAACGTTGGTCAACATTAATGAAAAAATAGTTCAGGACATAAATAGAATAGGGTTAATAGCATTTTATGCCCCTGTATTATTGCGTTTTAACAAACGTGCCCTTGTACTATGATTTTGCACAAACGTGCCCCTATACTATTACGACATAACAAAAATGCCCTTCTGTCAAAAATCCGTTTTCTCTCCGTTAACTAGGACTAGAAATTACCCAAATACCCCTTTGACTAACATTAAAATTTCACTTTAATTTACGGCCGAATTAAGAAAGGCAAAAAGGAGCCCCATAATACGCTGACTCCTCGTTTTCTGCTCTCCCAGTTCAGCAGCCGATCATCGGCCGGCGCCGTCTTCACCACCAGCGTGATCCAACTGTGCCAGCGTCCACCAACTCGTTCATCTCTCATCCGCCGAACCTCTCATCTAGCTCCATTGGCGGCAGCCAACATCTTTTCCGACAACCAGCATCTTCTCCTGAGTTCATCGTCTTTTCCTCTAGCGATGTTGCCGGCAGCATAAGCCTAGGCGGAAACGGCGACTCAGCCGGTCGAAGTTAATTCCACCATCAACCTTTGAGGTGCGGCTGCAACCATTATATTCTTAAACCCTAATTTACACTAAGAGGACAAAAAGAGGAAATAAATATTGTTCTTTCCTGGACCACGTACAAAAGATAGATGGACAATGAAATTAATAATGAAGTTTGGGAAAGCAATCGAGGACATATCTTTGGAGGAACGTTTAGGACGAGGAAGCATCTGGGTCCCTGTTCGGGTGGAGGGAGCGATAGGTCCGGCGGCGGGAGAAGTTGGATCGGCGGAGGGAGAAGCTGGTGCGGCGGATGAGATGATGAACGAGAGTTGGTGGATGCTCGCATAGTTGGATCACGCCGGCGGTGAAGACGGCGCCGCCCTCGTTGCTGTGGTCGAAGGCCGATGATCCCTTTAAAATTAATTCGGTCGGGGCTCCTTTTTGCCTTTCTTAATTTCGTCGTAATCCCTTCAAAATTAAAGTGAAATTTTAATGTTAGTCAAAGGGGTATTTGGGTAATTTCTAGTCCCAGTTAACGGAGAGAAAACGGATTTTTTGACAGAAGGGCATTTTTGTTATGTCGTAATAGTATAGGGGCACGTTTGTGCAAAATCATAGTTCAATGGCACGTTTGTTAAAACACAATAGTATAGGGCATAAAATGCTATTAACCCAATAGAATATTGAAAAGAATAGGATAGAGTATAGAAGTGGCATTTTTGTCATAGTTCGGGTGTTGTAGTGTTATTAGCCTTTTATTTTATTTTGTGATTCTAAACTCAATCCACGGCGGATCGAAGAGGAGGCCGCTGGAGGTAAGAGTTAAGACACAGAAGGATCTCCGAATAATATCGTGCAAACCACAAAACCATAAGAGGGCCATCGCAGCCGCCTGTGTTTCCCACGGCCGACGACGGGGAAGCAGAGACAGGAGACCGAGGTAAGATGGGGGGCGAAGAGAAAAGGCATCAGATGATGCAGAACCTATTCGGAGATCAATCGGAGGAAGAGGAGGAGATTGATTCCGAGCACGAATCTAATCCTCAGCCTAATTACGCTTCGGTGATCACTCCAATCTTTCCCTCTCCCATTAACTACTCTTAATCGGCCTCCTCCGTGCTTTCTGGAGTGTGGTTTGTTTTTTGTTCTCTGGTCCGCTTTTCTTCTGTATGGAATAGTGTGATTGTTTCGGTTTAATGGCGCGTCCGTTGTAATTTTTTCACCGGTTTGTTTATCTGCTTGGATTACCAATTACCATTACTTTATTGTTCGGGAGCTTTAGACTCTGAATAACAGGGGTACTGAATGCTTCTGGAGATTATCTTCCTTATCGACATTTTATGACTCATTCTTATATAATCCAAAAGCGGGGTTGATGTTTGGTGCTTGTCTGACTGTTGATGGATTGCATCAATTTAAATCCGGACATTCTAGTTCTTAGTTTGCTTTCTGGGCAACTCTGTGCCAATCTTCAGCTGAGGAACACATCTTTGTTTTCTGAAAGGATGGGTAATTAATAAGTTGGGAAGCATTTTAGGCAAACTGTCCTTGTGCTGTGTTCTAATTCTAATGAAAGGAAGACTTTAGGAATATGATGCTGAAAGTAATTTGAAGATGAGATAAATATTACGAGCCCTCGTACTGGTTTTGTGACTTTAAAAGATTGTCTCGAACCAATGCTGTCCTTGTATTTTCTAAAAGTGGATGAGGAAGGAAGATATATTACCTCTAACAAGGGCTACCTGTTGAATCGTGGCGATTAACAGACATTGTTTTACTTTCATATTCTTCCTCCAGGATGAAGCTGAGGGAGAACTGAGGAACGGGGTTGATGATGAGGGTGAAGGTGAAGTGGAGGAGCAGGAGCAGGAGCAGGAGCAGGAGCAGGAAGATGTTGATGTTGACGTTGAGAGTGAAGGTGAAATGCGTGAGGTAGAGCCTGATCCTGGAGAAAGTGAGGGCGAAAGGGAGCCAAGTTCGGAGGAAGTGGACGTGGAGGATCCGAGAGAAGAGAGTGAAGAGAAAGATGCAGAAAGTGATGAGAAAGATCAGTATGGTCAGAGGGTTGTCACCAGTCGAAGACGTGATGTGCTTGAAAGTGAGTCTGAGAGATCTGAGGAGCAACCTTATGCTGACCATGATGATGAGGAAATAGACCAAGCTGGAAATCCAAGGTTCGCTTATTCTGGTTTGCTAAATGCACCTCAGCCTGTAAAATCTTCTTAAGATGTTACTAATTAGGACATGTATATTCTTGTTGAAACGTGTCAAGTTTCATAGAAATACTAACATCATTGCAGCAGATCACCTGAGGAGGAGAGGGACCAAACTCACATATCACACTCAGCTGCTGAAATACGTGATGTTTTTGGTGATTCTGATGACGAGGAAGAGGCAGGATATGCTGTTCAAAATGACCTCGAGCCAGATTCTCATGTGAGCATACTCATCAATGAGTTTATCTATGTAGATTTACTGGAAAAAAAATTAGAAGATGTGAGGATCATAATGATGCTTAATATTTTCATTTTGTAGATGTCTCCCATGGAAGACGAAGGAAGCTATGAGAAGAGTCTAAGACCTGAAGACATGCTAGTTGATGAAGATGGCCGATATGAGTCAGAGGAGGAGAATGTCGAGGTCAAACAAAAGGAAAGGCCTGTTGGTCCGCCACTGGAGCTGGAGATTCCATTTCAAGCAGCTCCTGCCCATCCAACTAGGGTACAATTTTTAGCTATAATGGCACCACGCTTCTATTACTTTTCATGATTTGCCCAGTGGTTAAATAGGAAATCAGCATCCTTATCCGAGTAAAGCAAAATGTGATTTGTTATTGAAATGCGGAAAGGAAAATCGATTTCAAATTTACTTGAGAACTACTTTTCAAGATTCCGTTTCTCTGTAGAGGCTTTGTTTCACTCAACAGTTTTCTTCCTCCTCTTTCCAGTTAAATTGAAGTTGGGATTCCCTATGACTTAAAATTATTGTTTAAGAAAACTGTTACCTGGGTTCATTGAATAGTAGCAATGGGATGCATGTGGTCTTTCTTTCTGTCCACAGACTGTTTCTTGACGTCATTCTTCCACCTGATTTCTTGTGAAACTGGTTTGAATCCTTGTGCCCGTGCTCAATTATCGTGTGCATTCAACAAACTATATGTCCTTTGCACTTCATATTTGCATGGGAACAGTTGCTACTGTCTGCAGTTTCAGAATGCTCTGTAGTCACCATCAATGCACTCGGTGATTGCTGTCCCATTTTGATTTATAGAAGTCAATTCTCCTTTTCGGTTGTAGTTCAAAGCAATGTTATTCCTTGCAGATGAATTTAATCAAAGTTTCCAATATAATGGGTATTGAGGCCCAACCATTTGATCCCAAGACATATGAGGAGGAGAAAACATTTGTCACCGATGAATCTGGAGCTAGAAAGCGCATCCGCTTGGAAAATAACATTGTGCGCTGGCGGCGTGTCAAAAATCCTAACGGCACAACTTCTGTTAGTAGATTCCTTTTATTTCACCTCTTTGAGTAGTCGGTAACACATATGATAGATGAACTGACGTTTAGCTTTCTTGCTTAACTGTTAATGACATCCGTAATGATAACTAGAGGAAGCTTGCTGGCTATGGTGATATAATTTATGCCATTTCATGTTTACATCTCTGGCATTTTTTATTGTGGCATTCTTCTTTCATCCTCGTATATGGTTATAAGAATAAATGGTAACTTATTTGTACTTTGTGTAGTGGAAACATATTATTTAGGCTCCAAGCTACTTGGTCTTACATGTTCTTACTCCATTTGCTTACACTACAAATTGTCTTTTGTTTATGTAGATTGAAAGTAATGCTCGCTTCGTCAGGTGGTCAGATGGCAGTTTGCAGTTATTAATTGGGAATGAGGTTCTTGATATATCTGTACAGGATGCACAGCATGACCAAACACACCTCTTCCTTAGACACAATAAGGTGATTTGGAGTTTCTTTGACATATAGCTTCATTTTTTCCATCACTTCTAGGTAATTTTGCAATATCTTGATTAACTTCTATGATGTCTGACTTTATGTTTTAATGGAGGTTCGCTGTCCCTATAATATCTTCTCTCTGTTCTCTGCCCAAACAAGCCCCTTGCTTTAATCATGTGGCATAATGTTTTTCTTTTTTGCACAATAGAAGTGCTCTGTAAAATGCTACTGTCTTGTTTGGTCTTTCCCTTCTTCTGCATAGAAAATTCTACAGTATTCTGGGGTGTTGGCTTGGTGGATATAGTATCTTGGCTGGCTTCCAAGCTAAATACAAAGAGGTTTCGGTTACCGATTCCTTTGATGCTATTGTCACAGAGTTCCCTTTATGAGCAAGGCCAATACCCTAAGGTTGTATGAGCAAGCAATATTATGACTTGAGAGTTTAGGATTAGCATTATTCAAGCTATTGAACATATGTGGGATTTTGAATCTGCATTTTGATTTTGTTTCTCATGTAATCTCTTGTGCTTATGCACTTATGCTAATGGAATCATCAAGCTTCAGATCCAGATGACACAAGTGCTTGTTTCATGTGTACTGTTGTCAGATGCATAGGCTTGATTTCTAGGTTGTTGTTTGGGACAAGCTTTCGCCTTACTGCACTCTCCATCTTTAATTTCAGTCCCTTCTTCAATCACAAGGAAGAATATTGAGGAAGATGAAGTTCATGCCATCTTCGTTGTCATCAAAATCTCACAGGCTATTGACTGCCCTTGTTGACTCACGGCATAGGAAAGTTTACAAGGTTAAGAATTGCATTACTGACATTGACCCTGAGAGAGAGAAGGAGGAGAAAGAGAGGGTAAGAAGTAGCTCTAGATTTGAGTAATGTATTTGGTTGGAATTGTTACAGGTACTGATTTGTATTAATTTTATGGTCTCACAGGCTGAAAGTCAAACAATCCGGGCAAACGTACTCCTTAATCGGAAGAGAGAAAAGGTTAGCCGGAAATATACCCCTGTAGTAGAGCGTAAGCATCAACTTTCAACTGGATTCTTAGAGGGTGCTCTTGACGAGGTATTGTTTTATCTTGTATATATACTAATAATTTTCTGTATACATCTATTTTACCACCGTAAATTATATTATTTGTTAAATATGTCGGTGAAAGATTTTCCTTGGACTCCAGATTCAGATACTTAAAACCTTTCTCTAATAAATAGTTGGTAATGTTCTTTTCTATATGTGCGTCTGCTGGTGCTTTCATTTGCATCTTACCTGCTGGTGTTAATTTTTACCAGGATGAAGAACACGAATATTCTGATCCTCGTCGGACTCGTCGCCGCTTTGAGGAAGACCTGGAAGTGGAAGCTCGAGCAGAGAAGCGCATTATGAATGCTAAGAAGGTCTCAAATTGTCAAGTCCATATAAAGATGACCTTTTTTATGGTTGACCCTGATTCTCTGGAACATTTTCATTAACAATAACAGGGAAACAAAGACTTCCTACGCAAGTCGTCTTTGCCTATGGCTAAATCGAGCAAGCGCCCCGTGAATTTCGAGGACAGTGAGAGAGAGGAATCTGATTATGAAAGTGATGAGTATCAAGATGGGAGGCCTGCTCCTAGGAAGAGGTTTGAAGAACCAGAGGAGGAATACGAAGAAGATGAGGAAGAGGAAGAAGAGCGCTATGAAGAAGAGGCAGACGGTGATGGAGCCTCAGAGGAAGAAGAGGAAGCTGAGGTATGATTATATTTTACAGTTACTTCACGTTTTGCCTTCGAATATCTGAGTAATGCTAACATGAAAACTAGGGGCAACAACCAGTATAATGTTCCTGTCAAAATGTGATTGCATTGTGTTTGATGTGGGGTTGCAATATTTGGTTGCTGTTTTGTAAAGTTGGACAAAGTCGAGGGTCTTGAATCTTGCTGCACGTTTTGAAGTCCTTTCTAAGTAGCTGGAGAGCATTCACTTACAAGTGTGTATCATATCATCTCCGTCGTAGGGTGGGGAAAGCTAAGTTATCCGACTGCAGATTTTCTTATAAAAGGCTTCTGGATGCTTCAAATGAAAATCTATGTTATTAGATACCACCTGATGGACGAGCCATCTTTGTAGTCTGTATTTGTCTCAAGGCTCTTTTTCCTGCAAGAATTCAACATTATGCCAAACAACCTACCACCATAAGAAGAATGATGGACGAGGGTTTAGAGAGGAGTGTGTTTGGTGTGATTTGTGTGATATCTTGTTCAATGAGCAGGTAAATAGGGTGGTCTACATCGGGCAGATATCAGAAAGGAATGATGGACGAGGGTTTCAGAAGAACAAAGAGAGAATTAACATTGAATGGTCGGACAATAGGAAGGGCAGGAGGGGGGAAAGATCATTTAAATGAAAATTCGATAATTTCTAATTCTCCTTATTCATATATTTTTCATCCTTCTGGCTGTATGTGATATGCACATCACCTCTCATTTCTGGGTGACAAGAAACCAATAGCATTTGCTCTTGGTTGCTTTTTACCTGTTTAGGGGGCACAGATAACGCAAGGAGCAAAAGCTAGAAATAGTCAAGCTGTCCAAAAGGCGCTTGCTGTTTGTGCGTTGCGCTGCACCATCTGTTTAGTTGTACATGTCAATAAATGTCTCATCGCAATTAACTTTGGTTAGGCTTGGGGTGCCTTTGCTTAGTGCACCTTGCCCCTTGGTCACATAGACTGATAGTTGCTGACGTTTTTTCAGATTATTCTTAGTAGTTCAACAATGAGAATTTGGCAGGAAACAGTTGTAGCTTTTCCCAATCATAAAAAGTCAATTATCATTGATTTTCCTGTTTGGCTTGGAAAGAGAAGGATATAGTGGTTGAGTTTGGGATTTTTGTTGTTTTGTTTCAAAATTAATTTCTACCATTGGTTGAACTTTGCCGAAAGGAGAGAATGAAGCTATAAATAAAATGAAAAACAGCAAAGTCTTTTTGTATGGTGAAAATATGCTTACTGCATAGTTGATCAAACCTCTGCAGTAATCTTTTTGCAGTAATTTCACGGTTCTACTTCCTCATTCCCTTTCCTTGTCCTAAGACAATAAATATCTCAACTTAATACCTTCTCTCTTGTGATAATTTTCAGGAACTAAAGCCGAGAGGCAAGGAGTATGGAGGTAGTCATAGAAGAGCTGGGATCGAGTCAGATCAGGACTCCCCACCTAGAAAGGTGCATACTCACAGGAGAGCTGTTGTATTTGATAGTGATGAAGACTGAGAAGATGGATGAATGCTAGATGGGTAAGTTACATGTACTTGCTTGCGACGTCTTCACTTATGATACATCCTTTTGATTCCTTCATTGTGCTGCGAATTGTGCACCCAAGATTATCCTGCCTCTATCTGTAGTTGAGGAGTAGTGATTGTGTAGTAAGTGGTTTTGAGAACTGAGATTGATATAGTGAATGTGGTATAATTGTGTCGTTCAATATCAGAATTGTGAATGCAATCTCTTGGCTACAAATTATGTTGACGGATGTGTTTGTGAAGGATCATAGGTGGTCTTTTTGACGAAATGAGTAGTCAGTTAATTACTGGCTTCTTGAATCTCTTCATGGTTACTGCAGCGACGCCTGCTGATACCTTTGATTCAAAGGATGTTAGATCGATCTTTCATTTGGGCTCACTGAGGTTTTGGTTTTGGTTTGCAGGCATGCAGAGATGTGATGAAAGCACTTCAGGAAGCTAACTTGGAACTATCTGGGACAATTGCTTAAGGAGGAGCTTTGCTAAACTGTCTTCTTTCTGTACAGCTTTCTTCTTCTTCTGAATATTTAGCCTCTCCTTGCTCTCTTGAATTGAATGAATCAGTGTGTTTACTGTTCTTCATAATTGAGGTTCCCGTTGTTTGTTCCGATTGTATACCTTTTGGTTTTTTGATTACTGAGTCGGCCTAGTCATAGGCTTGCCCTTCCATTTTATACACCTGACTTTCATTTTTTCCCCCCCCCCCTCCTGATTCATATGAGCAGACTGCAATCATATATTATTTATAAGGGTGAAATAATGTTTTTATTCTTAGGTGCTATTCCATCATTAGACCAAGCTTGGATTTTTCGGAGTGAATTGGCCTTGACAGTTGATATTGAAGATTATGGGAAAATACGAGAGTTGGTTAACAAACAATAGAGAACTAGATCAACGAGTACCTGCCCTAGTGGGTAACATTTCCTTGATGCTTCAACTATCTTGGCTAAAAGAAAATTGGGCAGGTAATAATTGGTTAGCGGATCGATTGGAATTTTGAATCAAAATGCTGCATTCTTTTGTTATGTGGTATTTCAGTTTGAAACAGATAATTAGTCTAATTGTCTTGTTTGGATAAAACATTCAAATATTTTGGTATTTCATCACTTCAAGAAGGGATGAAAAGAAAAAATAAATTGAGAGATGAGTTGTTTCAAACTTTCAATTGCCTCATGGACAAAATACCATATTCCATTCTATTTTTGCCTGACGAGTTATTTCAATTGAAGTAACTCTTTAGAAATATCTCATCAAATATTGCATCCAAACGACCCGTAGTAGTTATATTGGATACTTTAGAACACAAATGACACATTCTTAATAGTTTGGGTTTCCTAGTGGTATTATCCCTTATTCCTATTCAATGGCGGCAGCTAAACCACAATCCATTAATCCTTACAAATTTGTGAGTCCGTACTTCACCAACCAGGTGACTATCAACTCGAATGGTTGAAGTTTTTTTGCCTTTTTATTGGTAACTACCCAAGGGAAAGAGACTATCCCACTATTGCACTTAAAGCGCACCAAGTGTCGTCCTATGATGAACATGATTCTCAACGAGATGGATCATTTAGGGCGAGCAAAAAGAGTACCAAAGTATTTCAAATTATGCAGGCAACCTGAGCATGAGAGGAGGCATTATTTAGGACCGCCAATAGAGCCAACCGGTGGCAATTAGTATCAATTTAAGTTCCAGCTTCTTATTTGTAATGCATAAGTTCTTTTTAAATAAAAGTTATACAAGTTGGGGCATAACATAACTAAACATAACACTAGAACATAACTTCAACTTCATACTCAAAATAACACTAGAATACACCTTGAAAGAGGTTGCAATAACACATACCTTCCTACTAAAATAAACTTAGCACTAGAAAAATGGAAGACATAACATGGAAATTAAAGATAAGCATTCTCATTGCTCTTCGCCATAATATCCTCCTTGTTCCCCTTGCTCTTGAACTCCTCCTTGTTCCCCTCTTCCTCGTCCCCTTTGTGCTCCTCTTCCTTATCCTCCTTATCGAATAGGACGCGAATTCTTTTTAACTTCAAAAGGTGCAACTGCTGGCGAGACATCAATGGGCTCTTGCTCCTAAACACCTGACATGGGCTATGAACGTCATCGTGTTTAGGGTTGGCAACGGGGCGGATCGGGGACGGTTTCCCAGCATCCGCACCCCGCCCGTGAGACCTCCTCGGGTCGGAGAAACCATCCACACCCGCACTCTCGGGGGCAAAAATCTCACCGCCACCCGCCCGACTCTGGGTACGGATTTTACCCGAAACCCCGAAAACCCGGACTTCGCCATTCCTCCACTGTCGCGAAGCTCCAGATCGTCGCTGCACCACCAACCATTGTTGGGGCAAAAGAGAGGAGAAGACAGAAAGAGGCAGCGATCAGAGCGGCGATCCCATTCTTTCATCGCCGCCGCCGTCAGATTTCTGATCCCATCGTCGTCGTCGATTCGGCATCATAGATCCGAGTCGAGGAGTGGGAGAATCGAGGAGAGGGAGAATCGCCTGGCTATTCACATACCCGCTACAGGGAGACGAAGAATCGCCGGCCAGGATCTAAAGGATCTTCAATCTTCGACGGCTGCATTTGGTCTCTATGGCAGCAGTTGGTCTGCCTCTTCAACGGCTGCAGTTAAGTCTGCCTCTAGCTTTGTTGGAGTAGTGATGAACTCGGGCGGTTACGGGGCGGATAATGATGAATCCATCACCGCTCCGTCAACTGTTCGGGTTTGCCCGTCCCCGACCCGTCGCCCGGTCAACGCGGTTTTTCCCCGGTTTGACTGGTGCGGTTTCGGGCGGGCACCCGGATCTCCGGTTAGGGTTGCCATCCCTAATCGTGTTGGCTGGCCGTGTTCCTTGAAGAATTCATCGAACACATGTCCTAGATATAAAAATCAAGTGTCAGCCCCCCCCCCCTCCCCCCCGATAATTTTCAAAGGATGAACCGTCCGTTTGAAACTTTCCTTGAGAGGAGAGGAGATGGCTTGATTTGGAACAACTTACCAAAAGAGGATCAATCAACATGCCTCTAATTTCATTATGATTATTTATAAATTAATATTTTTGTATTTAAATAAAATTATATACTATTTTTGTGGGTTTTATATTCTCGAGAAGACCATTCTCAACCCTTATCGCAGGTAATTGGTTTATTGTGTCATTTTAAAATAAAAATAGATTTTCTAGAATACAAATAATACTTTAACAATCAATATATACGAGAATATTTAAAAAAGTAATATTTTTTATAATTAGGATTTTATTAGTTACCCTTATCAATAAACCAAACCTCTTGAAAGTAAAGACTATATTCACTGTTATGACTACAAATCAGTCAACAACAACAACTCAAAGCAACCTACCCAATTGCGGTACACTTTGCAACTCTTAACAACGTTTGAGGAAATTGAAACCCTAAGGCTTGAGCCTTTTTCATTGATTCATCATGTTCTTATATACATCCTAGCACACTAGAAGCCAACCAGTACTAGTTCTAGTTCTGTTGTTTGCTTGCTTGAAAAGGAAACCAACTGATACTTGAAAACAAAGCAACAAAACGATTGGAAATAGTAAAACGACAGTGCATTGGAAAAGGAGGTAAAACGCTCCGTATTGTGACTCGCACGAAACTACATCACAATAAAACCTCAACTAGAGCCCAAGTTTTTAAACTCTAGTCGGGTGCAGTATAGGACAAGTATTTATTGTGCTTCTTCGATGATTTCCAATGTATATTTTCTCTGTGAAATGTGAATCCCAGTGGAATTTCTAGCCACTTCAATGCCCAGAAAGAATTTAAGGGTGCCCAAATCCTTAATACTGAACTGCTTGTGCAAAGCTGCCTTCATAGACTCAATCTCTTGCAAATCATTGCCACCAATAACAAGATCATCAACATATATAAGTATGCAAGTGTAACTGGTAGGAGTGACCTTGTAAAATAAATAATGATATGCATTGCTTTGAACATAGTTGTAACTAATGTTTGTAATGAGAACAAATATTATTATAAGAGAGAACAATTGAAAGGGAGTACCTTTTGTTTGGAACCTGTAGAGAAGAAGACTGATCTGGACTGATAGACTATTGAAGTAGATAACAATGATAATCTTGGGTGAGACGAGTGGGTGGTTTGTGTTGGCGATTGGACCTTCTGACTGGTTGTGATGGGGGTGGAAGGGGTGGTAGAGAAGTGGTGGTTGAAGGTCCTGCAGAAGATGAAGGTTCTGCAGGAGAAGTGATGATTGGTGCAGAAGGAGATGGTGGTTGGGAAATAGGGGGAGATGAGGTAGTGAAAGGTGGTGGAGGAGGTGAAGATAAAGACGTGGAAAAAGTGGTAGGAGGAATGTCATCAGGACAAATATAAAGAGAGGGTGGAATAAGGAAATTGAGTGAAGTGTCAGTGGTGTTGATGTCTTTGAAAGGGAAGTGATTTTCATAAAAAATGACATCTCTGGAAACAAATGTGTCATGGGTGCCTAGGTTATAAATCTTGTAACCTTTGATGCATGGAACAAAACCAAGGAAAACACCCTTCCTAGCTCTAGGATCAAAAATTTTTTCTGTGATTAGTTAGGGTGCTGGCATAACATAAGCTACCAAATACTTTTAGGTCAGTGAGGTAAGGAGGAGTATTATGGAGCTTTTGGTATGGCGTTTGGTTATCAAGGACTGTAGTTGTAACTCCGTTGATAAAAAAAATAGCATGTTAGACACTGTCTCCCCAAAAACCAGCAGGTAGATGAGCCTGAAACATAAGAGCTCGAGCAACAGCAAGAATGTGCTGATGCTTCCTCTCCACCTTACTGTTTTGTTGGGGAGTTTCAACACAGGAGAGCTCATGAAAAATGCTTGTGGTATTGAAAAAATCCTCCATTTGAAACTCTTTTCCTTTGGACAAAAGTTTGAAACTGTCTTTCAACTTGTTTGCAAAAATGGATCAGTTTAGGTCTGGCTTTAGATTTTAATTGCAAGAGAATTATACAAGTCAAACGTGAGTAATAATCAACAATGGTTAGGAAATATCTGTAACTATCATAAGTAGGAATTGGGTTGGGACCCCATATATCAACATGAGTCAGTTTGAAGGATCTAGCAGTTACAGTTTGACTGATAGGAAAAGAGAGTCTCCTTTGCTTGGCAAAGTGACAAACATCACAGTCCTGATCTTTGTAGGTTTGAATGGAGGTACAAAATTTGTGTAGGTAAGGGACTTTAGAGTGGGAAACATGTCCTAATCTAAAGTTCCAAAGATAAAAAACAGTATCCCTAACAGCAATTATGTATTTAGGTTGACAATATACTTCTAGATGATAAAGTCCATTGAAAAGTCTAGCAGAACCAGTCATTATCTTCAGCTGCACGTCCTGTATGAGAAAAAAGTCAGAATAAAAGGTCAAGAAAAGGGGTTTGTTGGTTGTTAATTTGCGGACATATACAAGGTTGAAAGTGAAATGGAGGACAAAAAGGACCTCCTTAAGTGTAAGGAGAGAATTGCACTGGGCAGTTCCAACATGAGTAGCTCGAATTTGCTCTCCAGTAGGGAGAGTAATAAAGACATTGGTGATCAATCAAATAATTTAAGGAGCAAGTGATATGATATGAGGCACCCATATCTAGGGATGGCAATGGGTCGGGTCGGGGACGGATAGTCCATATCCGTTACCCTACCCAAAGTAGTTCGGGTTTTACCCATACCCATACCCACATGTGAAACGGGTAGAAAATTAAAACCATGCCCATACCCGTTCGGGTTTCGGGTATC